GGGTGTAACTGGGCACGTATCCAAGTGTACCGCTGGTTACATGAAGTGTGACACGTCACACTTCGGGATACCTGGTACATGGTACCAGGGTCGGCAACCATTGGCTGATGACATAGCTTCACTACAGGTGACTTATAGTTTGTATATTTAACTTAAGCTAGCCTACCCCGGCCATAACTAAACGAACACCTACAAAAGACAAAAGACGATGTACGTTCATATCCCAATATATGCTCAGAAACTTACACACCAATTGCCTGAGGGTCGGTCTTGTATCTCGCGGGACGCAAGGCGGGGCCAATGACAGCTCTTATTTGCGGAGTAAGGCACCCCAGTTCAGACGTCTCGACCCGCGGGATCATTATGTGGCACGACATGGATTTACACAAACGTCGCAATGATTGGTTATCATTTGCGCTACTAAAACAACACAATGAATGCTTAGCAAGCCGGCACGTTACGAAATAACTTAGTGTCGAAATGTCCTCGTTTCATTTTCAACTTTCCAGACAGCCTAGGGGAGGAGTGATGACCACCAGACAGCTCAGTTAATAGTGCTCCTCTACATGTATGACACAAAGGACGGAAGTCGGCTGATGTGGTCAAATCATCCCGCTGCATCGGGGAGATAAAATACCGGCCTTTAAGCATTAGGGGTTGTCAACGGCAGCAGCAGCTACCGTTGTCCCCCGTACCAACCGCCTAGGCGTTCAATTTTAATACAACGCACAGTGTGCTTTGTATCTGTTTAGAGCGCCTAGGCGTTCAATTGAAGGGTAAAGGTCAAAGTGAGACGAACGCAAGGCCCATTGACCCAAATGTATTAGATGTGCATTCCTTCCACTTGCAGGCAGTAGTACAGCCCAATTCTAGCTATGGAAATCGTTCTAGAAGCGTCGTCTACGGAGTACGTGAACGTCGACACGACCTTGCAATTGTAGTTGAGTGTTTTAAGCTCGATGTTGCATCCATGGTACTGAGCTGCTTCAAAAATGACGAGTTCGCTTCCGTCACTCTGTTCATTCCGGATGGACACAAGGTAGTCCTCGTCAAACAATCCGCTGAGCTCTTCGAGTTCTTGCATATACTGCGTCAGATCGGTAAGGTAGTCATCTTCATACCTAGCAAACGCGTGCCTAAGACAACAGAAAAGGCTCGAGCGAATATCTTCAGGCGTGTACCAAGCAGGTTTTTGGAGACAGAGTCCCTCTTTGTCATCGTCGCTGTCGTCGTCGTCGAACAGGTGCTGGTACCGGAGGTGCCATTCGTGCATGTCGATGCTAGAGTCAAGCAACTCTCGAAGTGGCGGGTGCAGTTCCGACTTGTCAAATTTGGAGCGCTCAACAATGCCACAGACCCGAAATGCCTTCCGTGTGTCCTCAGCTGTCCTCGTAGCGATCCAGTTCAAAACCCATTGTGCAACAACAGAATATTTTGGGACCTTGGTGTTTCCTGCCTTAGTCTGCAGCTTGGGGTCATCAAGTGCGCGTCCAATGTATTCGTCATACTGGTCAGAGTAAAAGGCTTGGAAGCTACGATTCACAGCCACATCAAGAGGCTGAAGAAGACTTGTCAGGTTAGGTGGTACCAACAACACGTGGATATTGTATCCCTGAAGACGCTTCTCGTTGAACAGCGAAACGTGGCACGCATACGAATCAATTATGAAAAGCACGTGCTGCCCAAAAAATCGTGTCTCCTTCCTGCTGCAAATGACAGTCTTCGCGTAGTCGATGAGAATTTTGTCGTTCCACATGCCGGTACTGTTAACATCCACAATAACGCCCTCAGGAACCGTCGGCTTGTGCTTTTGTTTTGAGAAGAGAAAATGAGGAGTTAGAAATTCGCCTTCACCAGTGATAGCGAACGTTGCTGTGAATCTCTTGTGGCTGCTTCCTCCTTTCCGAAGAAGCACTTCGGGTTCTCCACGAGTTGCAATGGTCCTGTTCGGCTCGGTTTCAAAGTACCGAGGAACTTGGTCCATATTAATCACGTTGCAGGGCAAAATGCCGTGCTCCTCAATCAATCTCTGAGCTGATTCGATGAATTCCAAACAGGATTCCTTGGCGTTTGACGGGATCGTTCTTGTCGTTGTATGGCGCCTTGACACGAGGTTGTATCGGGTCTTAAAGCGATCTAGCCATCCTGTTGAAGCGACAAAATTCTGCTGCGGTATGTCCTGCTGGGAACGGTGGATGTTCAATGCTTGAAGTTGGATGTATTTGTCTTTGACTCGTAGTCCCTTTTTGTTTCGGGCCGTTATCCAGAGATGGAGCTTCTTCTCGAGTTTGTCGAACTCAGGTTTACGTCCGGCAACGGGAAAGCGACGCTGCATGCGTGTGACAACTTGGCGGTCTCTTAAGGCGCCTTCAAGCTTGTCGAGTTGCTCCACCCAGCTGCGTACCATAGACGAAGACACCTTGTACTCTAGTGCCAGTGCATGATATCCGTCTCCTCTAGTGTTGGGCTTGTACTTGCTAGCGACTTGTCGTTTAAAGTGAAGGCTGTAACTGTTCCGCTTTTTGTCAGGTGACATTGCGGTCGGAGCAGACAATTGAGGAATGCCGTCGGAGCCCAGGCCAGGCTCGCAAACCAAGCCGACGACGATGGGTTTCGTAGAACGGTTGGTCGAGCGCTGCTGATGAAGCCTCAGCTTGCTCTCGCAACCAGCAATTTGGTCGGGAATAGGCAGCGACTGTTGATGGTTAAGGTTCGTTCTATTTGACCATGCCTTCAAATCGGGAGAACCGCAGCAAAAAAATTAAAAAAATACCTCGAATTAAGCGCTTAGGCGGTTGGTACGGGGGAAGACGGTAGTAACTTTTTTTTCTACTGTTTGTCAGTTTTTATTCAGGTCCCTGATTGGATGAAAACATATTTGGCAAACAGTACGAAAAGTTGCGAAACATTTTTTTTTGCCAAAGATCTTTAAAAGGCCATGGCCTATTAAAAGTGGAAATCGTGTCGCCGTGTGTTAAAGATAACGGACGAAGACTCAAGCCTGGTTCCATGCAGCAACAGCGGGTGTGCGAGCACTATTCACCGCTCTTGTTTAGCAAGCATGCTAGCTTCTTTCTCTGACGTTGATCAATTCGAAAAGGTTGTCTGCGGGAAAGCGCTGCTATAATGCCATTCTGAAGGCCGTGCGGTTGGAAACAGCTGCCCTTTCTTTAAAAAGGCGTATTCCGTGGCACAATGACGGCCCAGATCCAAGTGTGAGCTCTCTTAGTGTGCTATTCAAGTGGATGACTGACGGCAACAATTACCATCGTAATCATGGCGGCGAAGGACAAAGTGGTGAAACAAAGCAAACTTTGGCGGGCGAAGTCGTCGAGGCCATATCGGCCAGTGGTGTGAAGACTGCTCGTGCTCCCAAAGATGTTATGAACAAGATATCGGGTTAGAAACTAGTTTTCGAGTAGCCTCTGACTGGCTGAGCAACACAGGCCAGGGTGTCGAGAGCGAAGCTATCTACGAGCCGCCATCCTACACAGGTGTCCTAGTTTCTATGAGCTGCATCCCATAATGGATGATAGCCCAAGTACTCACCCTCTTCTCCTTAACACCGACCAGGGATTGTCCTACAGTGATCACGGCAGTGAGAGCTCATCCGACGGCGATAACGACATTCACAACTCGGTAGACGTCCGTCAGCTGGCACAAGGAGCAACGGAGCATAACTCTCGTTCGCCGGGCGAAATAGCTACTTCTGGTACAGGAGCAGCTACGCCTACGGGTACGGGTACTACTGCCAGTAGCTCGGGCACGAGGCAGATAAATCGTCAATCGGGTAAGCGCCCGGTTACTGGGCTTCGCTCAATTGCTACATCCACCGCAAAAACGAAACCCCAACGAGTGTCTCTTGTGGATCACCAAGTGCTAGTGTCACTAAAAGAAGCACAGTTTGCTCAGCAAAACGAAATCGAGTTGGAAAAAATAACTATTCAACGGCAAGAATTACAGTTCCGCCAGCACCAATCGGAGAAGAAAGAGCAAGAAGCGGAGGCCCGTATTGCCGAGCTTAATGCAAATACAGTGAAGCTCCAGGAAGAAGCGGAGCATTGACGTACTCAGCGTCTGGTGACTCTTCTTCGAGAAAGAAAAAAACTTTAAGCTGAAGGTGTTCCTCAAGATGAAATTGACGCGGTTCTTCCACTCGCCCATGCTGCTCCGTTTAGCCCCGGACCTCCAGCAGGTTCACCAGAAGCTGGTTGCGTCACTTCTCCCCTCCAGCGTCAGTAGCGATTGCCATGTTCAGCTCGTCAAACTCATCAAGATCGTTCGAGGATGCACCGTACCGTTGGATGTCATCTTCCCACTCCTCAGGAACCGGTTCTGCAATGAGCAAATTGTGTAAAATGCACGTGCAAGATACATATCGAATGATTCTGCGTAAGTGTCGCCGCTTAGCCAATTGAGACCGAAGGCCATTCAGATAGTGAGACCTAGTCTTAAGCAGCCCAATGCAATGTTTCTGATTTAATCCTGGCAGTAGCCAGTTGGCTGTTAAAATAGGCGTGAGCAGGGTTCATCGTTCCTCCTGCTGGCATCTTGAAAGCCGGGACCATCACACATGAAGCTTGGAAGGCTGAGTCTCCAAGACGGTATTCTTAGTTGCGGAAGAAAGCTTGATGGTTCTGGTTTGGTGGGCTGTTTCTCCAAACGCTATTGTCGTGAACTGACCCCGGCCATCCCACAACAAATTGACGTACCCTTGCCACATTATCGCAGACGATAAGAGCATTTACTGCGTAAAATCCTTTTCGCGAATAGTATGCTTCACCTTTCTTTGATGGCTTAGATTCAAGTCGCAACGGCGTGCCATCAACCATACCAATACAATTTACAAACCCATATTTACGGGAAATGCGTCGCGATATTTGACTACGCTCAAGCTCGTCTGGCCACGCAACCGTGCTAGCGCCTCATGTCAGCAACGCGCCCGACGCACGCTGCAGGTAGTCTCCAATAGTCCCTTTACCGATACCAAGAAACTGTGCCTACTGTGCCTGCTTTGACCACGTGTTGTCATTGCCAAATGCACCGAGGCACTTCAACAGCACGAGCATGTGCAGCTCCACTCCACCGCGAAACGGGCAATTGCCCGAAGAAACCATCGCCGGGTGGTCTCTCACCAGGTCGACGAGTCTGAAGAATGCCTCGCGCTCTAGCCGAAAGTACTCCAAAAACTCCGTCGAATTTAGCTTTGTAGTATCGTAGAGCAATTGCGTCCAGCAATCGCTACGACGACGGTACGACGGCGGTCGGTCAACGTATCGCGAGCCCAGTACTCGCTCGTATGCAGCAGCATACAGGATGTCTAGCTCATCTTCACTAAAATCTTCCTCGTCATATAAGTAGCGAAGTGTAGCCGCCTCCTCTCTGACTTGAAGAATAATCTTTAGCTTTCGTAGAGCGACCTTGACGGGCGCTTGGACGCGGCATCTCTGAGAGAAATATACGACTAGTTGTTGCAGCAACCGAACTTCGGTTGCTGCAACAGCTAGTCGTATATTTCTTTTCGGTCCGAAGGGGGTGGTCAATTGCCCACCTGCTTGATTGGCTAATAATATTTTAGTCATGATGTCGCTAAAAAATAAATGTTTAGCTGCTGCGAGCATTGACAACCCCTATTTAACCCGATCAAAAGTTGTGTCGGCTGTTGTACTGTGCTTTGCAAAGCTTTTGTCGTTTATCACTATGGTGGGTGCTCGATATTTAATAAATCGAGGTCATTTTATTTATCGAGGTTATAAAAAGGGAAAGATCGGTCGAGTTAGCAAATCGAGCCAAATCTAGCGCTCGTGGTCGATTTACGACAAATCGACATCGATAATTTTTTAGACGACCCTTTTTGCGTTTTTGAAAGAGAGTGACTATATTGACCGACTGAGTTAACCTTCCCCTACAAATTTTTGACGCGCTCCCATCCGTACGATGTATACCATTCAGCCTGACAGCCACTAAATTTCGAACAGCGTAACGATCGTAAGGCTGCAGGAGGGGGAAATGGATCTCCGCGTCCGAGCCGTCCAGAAGAGGCCGCTAACTGGGGCTGTCGCGCGCGAGATCGACGAGAGCGACAGCAGCGATTCTGAGCCGCCCCGAGAAGGATTCCAGGACGACGTCTGGCTCCCAAAAGCCGCTGCGAGCGGTGCTAATTCGGGTGATGGAGAGTCTTCCGAGGCTTTCAGTGTGTCGGATGTAACCGATTTAACCAGCAGCACTAGCGAGGGTGGTCCCCCCACACGCGTGGTGGCATTACCACCCAACACGGTGAAGTTCGCCTCGTGGGAGGCCTTCGACGAGTACCTGGCTGCGTATGAAGCCCAAACGTTTCAAGTATGCGAGATTCATTCAAGATTTAATGAACGGATGTCTGACCCCGCTGTTCCACTAATTTTGTGCTATCTGTCTTGTAGATATTCAGGGCGCGCTCTAATACCAGCGTGGCAGAGCGCAATGCCAGGATTGACAAGTCACAGTCAAAAGCAGCTAAAATACCAGCATCGTGGGAACAGTATTCGAGGACGTTCGTTTGTACGCACTCAGGGGAGTACAAGTCTGTAGCTACGAAGCGGCCACGCCAAGAGACTCGAGCACAGGGCTGCAAGGCGCAGGTACATATATGTCGGCCTGGTCGGGACTGGTCGAGTCCAGTCGGGGTCAATCGGGTAGTTCACTGACTGACAGTGGTTATATATGCTCTACAGATTAATGTCTGCGTCCAGGTAGTTGATACAAAGAATACGACGTTTGCTGTGCGGATCACTCGTTGTCGACTAGAGCACAATCATCGTCTGACAATCCTGGCTTTCTCTTCACATCCATCGAAACGCATTATCCTCGACGAGTCAGCGCTAACTACAGTTGATCTACTTCGAAAAAAGGTGTCAAGAAGTCTGGTATCATCAGCCACCTAATGAAGCACACCGACAGTAACCCCACCCCAAAAGATATGCAAAACCTCGTCCAGAAACTAAAGGCTCGCGAGCAACGCGATGGGCCTTCAAGCACTGACAAGCGGCTTAAGAAGTGGATGAAGCAGTTCGGTGATGTGCCAGGGAACGTTGGTCGGGTTTTCTTGGACGACGTTGGTGGCAAGGTAGAGTGAATGCTTTTATCAGGTCTAATGTCAATTCATGAAGTTAACATTTGTTGTTTTGTGTGCTATTGGATACGCAGAAAGTTGCGACTTGCATCACATTGCAAACAAAGCACATGCGAACACTATTCGACCATTTCCTGAAGTTCTGATGATTGACGCAACGCACGGGACGAACCGGTCTAAGTATAAAGTTTTTTCATTTATGGCACACGATACGTTCGGCAAGGGCCAGTTTGTGCAGCACGCGCTGCTTCAAAATGAGCGCTATGAAACCCTGTTGACAGCGATAGAGGAATTCAAAGCGAACAATCCTGCGTGGTCAAGACTTCAATGTGTGCTGGTGGATAAGGATTTCACAGAACTGTCCGTACTTGAAAAGGCATTTCCTGGGGTGACAGTCTTACTTTGCCAATTCCACGTGCTGAAGTACCTACGGGAAGAGATTGCTTCAGCTGACTATGGATTTTCGAGGTCTCAGAAAGAGCAACTTGGCGGTGTTGTGAGCTTACTTGTCGACGCAAAAACGGAAGCAGAGTACGACAAACGCTTCCAGTACATGGTGCATCTTGCGTCGATTGGTTATGCCGGTCCAGTTGCGAATGATCGATCTGGTATCGTAGTCGGTGTGGAGTCGGGCTCAGTCGGTGTGGAGTCGGGCTCAGTCGGTGTGGAGTCGGGATCAGTCGGTGTAGAAGTCACAGATCATGAACTGGAAGATATTTCTTCTCGCATTGATGAACATCCTATTGTGAAGTACTTTCGAAAGAATTGGGACAGCTGTAGTGAGCTCTGGTGTGCACATAGGCGCCAGAATACCGTCACACTCGGCAATAATACCAACAATCGCCTAGAAGCCTCTTGGAAGCAGCTTAAAGAGTGGGTGGATTCGTTTATGGGTGCATCGCTTCAACCATGTACTATCAAATGTTACAAGAGCGATTGTTCATTGCAGAAGTATACAAGAATGTGACCGTCCAGCATCCTGATTACGACAGCGAGATGACACTGGTGACGAATATTGTCAGTGAGCATGCTTGTGAACTTATATTCGGGCAGTATTCGTATGCTATTAAATCTGCGTCGTACACGTTTTATGAGGGGTGCCCAGACGTGTATTTTATCAAGAGTATATCTACAGCTGATGACGCGCTGGACGAGATGAACGCCGAGTATTCAGTTACTAAGCGCGAATGGAAGTGCTCCTGTCTATTCATGTGCACGAGATTGCTACCCTGTCGACACGTTTTCTACCTCCGAAAGGCTCTTGGTCAGGAGACAGTCATCCCCACACTACTGTTAAACAGGCGGTGGCTGTTGTCTACTGTGCGTGCGGCGATTGAAAATACAAGTGTCGTCTCTGACACAGCGGAGCCAAAGTCTTTTGAGGTAAAAAAATGTGATATCCTCACAGGCGAGACCGTGGGACTCGAACCGCAAATATCGTGAAGCACTGCAATTTGCATCCCAAATTTGTGACACCATGGCGGGACTCGGCATGACGCAGTATAAAGAAGCGATGCGGTATCTTCAAAGTGTGACTGGGCGGTTCAAGAGAGGCAAATTCGAGGATCCCGGTGTGCCAATTTTACCACCAGCTGAATCTGAGCGTCACGGTTCGACTAGCAGCTCGCGCGATGATGCGCTGTCGCCGCCACTACTTACTGGTCACGATTCGACTGCACGGCCGACTCACCACGTGTCGGCGGAACTGCTTACTCGTCATGCGGATACAGCAAATTTGAGTCATGTATCCCCAACTGCCTCTGAGTCTGACCATGCCACAAGCTGCAACTCCGTCGAAACAACACAGGTTGCAGATTTATCGGGCCAGTCGGTCTCGATCGGAGGCCAATCGGGCTCAATTGGGGGCATATCAGGTCCAGTCGAGGAAGAATCGGGTCCAGTCGGGGAAGAATTGGATCCAGTCGGGGAAGAATTGGATACAGTCGGGGACGTTAAATTAAGCACACTACCACCAGCAACGGAAGACACGCCATTTGTGATAGCGAGTCCTCCAAGATCGCGAGGACGACCAAGACAGACAGCCAGATCAAAGAAGGCAGCTCGTAAAAAAACTGTCATTGTAGCTCAAGAAGACTCAGAGCTGTACGCTTCGAATTTAAGCTTGGCGTCCGTGGATGCAGCGCTGTCTTCGGATGCAACATACATATCGTCAGCTGCAGTTGTGAACAAGTTCAAAATGGTGGAGTATGGCTTCAAGTTCAAGACACCTACAGCACGAACAATATCGAGCTTGCCACCCACAATTGCTTCGATACCAGCAGAGTCGATCACGCGGATATTGCGCCCTGAACAAATTGCCATTTGCAGGAAAAAGGTTTCGGCTCTGCAGTCGAAGCACAAAGGCCTAGCAGAAAGTGCCGTGGCGCTGAATATTTCAGGCTTTGGTGCGTACTCAACTAGTACAATTGGGATCATGAATAGGTGGCACAGGGCAATAAAGGTGGTAAAACAGGTCGAGAAGGCTGTGAAGTGGGTCGAAACCATTGACTTCACACTCCCAATACCTGCTGCGTTTCAAGTGGTGCTACAGACGGATATGCTGTCAAAGATGCAGTCAATCCCGCTTTTGTCTGCAAAGGTACGTCGATGAAATCATGCCATCACTACAACACTTTCTAACTAAACGTTATGTTTGACAAACAGGCAGAAATTCTAGATCTCGTCGGAAAAAACCGCTAAGCGACGATACCATGACTATCGTCATGTCCAAGCTGTTCGGAGAATGAAATGATGTCGTCATTGTGGATCCAGGTGCTATCGGTTCCATTGATAATGAAGATAGTCCTGTCAATACCAGAGCCTTCGCTACAATTTTCGCGGGCAAGACGAACGAGAAAATTCTGATCCCTATATGCTGCAGCAACACGCATTAATGGTGAACTTAAATCTGAATGATGTGTGCATCTATGACCCAATGAGCTCGAGCTATGTCGTTAGAGTCCGAGCGGTCGCAGAAAAGCTGGCAATGCAACTGCCAAACTACGCACCAAGGAAATACCGAGTACACCACTACATGGGCGATCTAGGGGGTACAAGTAGATTCATACAATTGTGGTATGTATGTTCTGCTAGCGTTTGATGTATTCGCTGGTGCCCAAGGTCTGTGCATGCTGAGTAGGAAGGAGTTACAGTATCTGCGCTACAGATACATATATATGTGTCTATAGCTAACCCTTTCAACAAGTTGATACTGATTCTGCACTTACCAGTCCCACTGAGCTCTACTGAATAAAGTTTCTCATGCTCATGACATGATGCCGGTCGTACTTGCACGCTCAAACCACAAAGTCTTCACATCCGGATATACGTATAC